TCTTGAGATTCTTCTCCTTCCTGTATGCTTATGATTCATAAGTTTGGTTTTTTTAGGGTGTCATACAATTCTTGCATGTTCCATTCTTGTGTTTTTTAAAATTTTTCATAATGTTTGCTTGAGTGGTCTAATTCGTCCACTTTATCTTCCAGTCTTGATACTCTGTTTTCCATTTCATTCATCCTATTGGTGAGGCTTTCTCCTGTCATTTCTAATTGGCTTACTGAGTGTTTCACTTCTTTCTTCATTTCAGCCTGAGTATTCTTCAATATTTCTAACTCTTTTCTGAATTCATTCAGAAGTTTATCCTTATCTTCCTTCAGTTCTTTGATTTCTTTGTGTGTTCTTTAAATTCACTGAATTGTTTTATCATGTTTATAATTGTTGTTTTGAGTTCCATTGCCTGTGTTATCTCTAGGGAGTTCTCCTTGTACTCCTTTAGATGACTATTGGTACTTGGTGGGGTTATATTATTTTGGTTTTTCATGTTATTATTTTTTCTTTGTGACTTTGACATGTGAATTTCCTTCATAGTTTCTGATTGTTGTGTGAAACTCAAACCTTCCTTTGCTGAGTTTAGATCTGCTTCATTTTTTAAACTTTATGTGCCCTTGTAGTTTACTTGTTGGGCATGAAATGCTGGTTGGCCTAGGCTTCAGGTTCTCTCTTTTGATTTTATATTGGAATGGCCTAATTGCTTTTGTCTTCAGGAGTTCCCACAGAGGCCCAATTGAGATGAGGCTCAGATGATCTCAGGCTTTCTCCTAAGGTATGGGTCCCTCCAGGAAAGATGCTGCCCTCAAGAATTTGGGGGCGGGCCTGGCCTGGGAGAAGGATGCAGGATAGATGCTGGTCTCAGGATGCCATGCCATCCAGGGAAGTAAAGGGAGGTGAGGGTGGGACCAGGTCTAGAGGGTTCCTGGGGCCAACAGGGAGGAACTGGGTTGGTCCTGATATAAAGGATCAGGAAGCAGTGGCGACTCTGGGCCAAAAGGTTGGCTCCGGTGCCTGGGGTGCCAAGACAAGAAATGGGCCTGTACCCAGCCTAGGAGGAGAGATTCGCAGTGGAGCTGGGAGGGTGAAAGAGGCTGGGGGAATCAAGGCCGGCTGGGTGGGCTGGACTTACCCAAGGAAGGTGCTGGTAGCAGGACACTGGAGGCTGTGCAGCCCAGGAAGCAAAGGGATATGAGGGTGGGATCAGGTCCAGAGGGCTCCTGGGGACCAGGAAAGGTGCTGGCACCAGGCCGCCCAGAGGCTGTGCATCCCAGGGAAGTAAAGGGAGGTCAGCTTATTCTTTTTTAATTTGAAATTTAATACTAAAATAGTCTAACTATTGGTTTATCACTAGTCCAAAGGTTTTTTTTTTCACTTTATTTTGCTTTGCTTAAGCTTAATACATGTACAAATAGAATGTTCTAACTACAGATGATTTCTTCTTGCCATTTTTAATTAGAAAAATAATCTTTCTGCTTTGATAGTATTCTTTGCTATAATATTACCTTTTAGAAGCTTGCATTGCCAGTCTAGCCTTCTTTTCATTATTGTAACAATAGCATCAATCTTTTTTTCTGTTTTCCTTTTATTTATAACACTATTAGTCATTATTTTCAGGCTCTTTATTTTATAGCTGTTTATCACACAGAAGGATTTTGCTTTCCCATTCAGTTTGACAGTTTATGCCTCTGAATTGAGATGTTGATAGCATTGATATTTTATGTAACTATTAATATGCTTATTTTTATCTGTCTCATGGTTTGTTTTACATTTTCTTTCCAGTTTTCTTCCTTTATCTTGTTTAGTTTGGTTTTTAGATTATTTTTTTCTGTTGTCTAATTTAGTGGCTACATTAAGTATTATAGTGGTTGTAT